AAAAACAAGCAACAAAGATAAATAAATACAACCAAGTACATGTATTTCTATTTATTTATATTTATCTATATATTTATATTTATTTATATTTATATTTATTTATACACAGGATATAAAAGAAGATAGCTGGGAGGATGTAGGTACACACGGATCAAAGATGATGTAAAAAAGTAAATAAACAATCAAACTAAAACTAATCCAAAAAAAAAAAAACAAAAATAAATAAACCAAGTATATGTGTTTCTATTTATTTATATTTATATATATATATTTATATTTATATTTATATTTATTTATACACAGGATATAAAAGAAGATAGCTGGGAGGATGTAGGTACACACGGATCAAAGATGATGTTTGAATGGAATTTTGAATTCGGTTGGTTTGAAGACGCAGAACAAGAAATGCCTCTCATGGCTGGCGGTATACTCGCTATCACCAAGGAATGGTGGTTAGAATCAGGTACTTCTTTCTTGTCTTTGTCTTTGTTTTCTTTATTTTTTTATTTCTTTTATTTGTATTCTCTTTTATGTCTTTAGTAGTTTTATTTTTTCTCTTTTTTTTGGCGTTTTTAGTTTTTTTTTGGTGCTGAAGGTATACTCGCTATCACCAAGGAATGGTGGTTAGAATCAGGTATTCCTCTGTCTTTGTCTTTGTCTTTGTCTTTGTTCTCCTTATTTTTTTATTTCTTTTATTTCTGTTTTTTTTATTGTTTTTATTAGTTTTATTTTTTTTCTTTTTTTCGGCGTTTTTAGCTTTGTTTTGTTGCTGGCGGTATCCTCTTTATCACCAAGCAATGGTGTTTAGAATGAGTTATATATTTATCTACATTCTCTAAATTTAGTTGTTTTTTATTTATTTATTTTTATTTATTTATTTATTTATTTATTTATTTATTTATTTTTTATAGGAAAGTATGATGAGGGTATGTTAGAGTGGGGCGGAGAAAACATAGAGCAATCAATGCGGCTGTGGATGTGTGGGGGAGAGATCGTCGTAGATAGACGATCCCGGATCGGCCATATCTTCTCTAGGCCCCCCAAACCAAACCCAGGAAACAGACTAGTTATTCAGGTGAGAATAAGAGCTAGCTAGCTAGATAGATAGATAGATAGATAGATAGATAGATAGATAGATAGATAGATAGATAGATAGATAGATAGATAGATAGCTATGTAGCTAGTCTGCGGGCTAGCTAGCTAGATATCTCTGTAGCTAGCTAGCTCTATATACCCTGCTGTCTATATTGTAGCTCCCTGTTAGCACATATCTAGCTAGCTAGCTAGCTAGCTAGCTAGCTAGCTAGCCAGCTAGCTAGCTAGCTGTTGTTGATGTATAAGTTATTTCCGTAAGAATATATGTTGAACAGCATAAATTTTTTTTTT